AGTCTTATTAGTCTTATGATTAAAAGTTATCTCTCAATGAAATCTGTAAAACTAGAAAGTGTGTCCTCTGCAGGATTGTTCAGCTTCCTTCTGACTTGGAAGATTAAATTTAAAAGGATAACACATTTTGAAAAACGCCGGAGTCCATATGAGACTAACCGTACTAATCTTTTAGAGAACTAATCAGGTGAATTCATCTGAGGCAATAGAGGATAGTGGCTAACTGGGGGGGCTTCAGAGTTCTGGGAGTGGATACAAACCCTAGTTCCACTATTTATCTGCAGCAAAGCAACCTAAGAAAGGGAGGGTTTGCTTTGTCTCTCCATGCAGGCACAGAGGCAGTCCATCATGGTGGGCAAGTCAGGGAAGCAAAAGTCTGAGGTCGGCACATCCCATCTGCAGTCAGGAAGCAGAGAACGATGAATGCTGATGTCTGGCCCTCCTTCTCCTTTTTATTCCATCTGGTACCTCAGTCCATGGAACGGTGCCACCCACATGTGGATGGATCTTCCCACCTCAACCCAGTCTAGAACTACATCACAAACACACCCAGAAGGTTGTCTCCTAGGCAGTTTTGGATCCTGCCTTATGGACAATCAATATCAACCACCAATGGGCTAGCCTGGAACTTGTTTCTAACCAAAAGAAAATGAGGTGTCACTTCTGTGATAAGGCTATACAAGAAGTTCGTTCTGTCCTTTGCTGGCATTAATGAAGTAAGTGTCCATGTGTGAATGTCTGTGTTTGAAAGAACCATGGACAGGGAGCTAACAGGTGACTTAAGACTTGCAGTCCACCCCTGAGAAACTGAAAGCATCCAACAACCACGTGGATAAACTTGAAAACAGATCTGTTCCCTAACATGAGACCCCAGCCCTGGCTGGTGCCTTGATCTCAGCCTCTTGCAGCCCACAGCAGAATATTGGTGAAGAATGCACGATGATGTATGCCTGCAATCTCAACATTCAGAGACTGAGGGGCAGTGTGCGCCCAGCCAGTGCTATATAGCAAGACCCTGTTTTTAAAAATAAATGCATTAAATAAGAAAATAGATAAACAGTAAATAAATATATGTGTTGTGTCAAAGTGCTAAATTCTGCTAACTTGTTTTGTAGGAACAGGCAACTAGATGATACTTAGATCTTAGAGTAATGATGAGGCACCAGGAGGCTAACGCTTAACACTATAGCTAGCACCTTGTAAACTGACTTTATACTGTACTATTATTTTATTCACAACATTCTGTGTCACAATTCTTAACCGTCTCAGGATAATTAATGTGATATACAGGAATTTTAAAGACATAGCCAACGTTTAGAAACCAGATTTCAGGGGATTCTGTGCTACTATTGTAGGTACAGTCAGGCTTCCGCTGCACGACCTTGTACACTGAGGGTGAGGGAGACAGTGATGTGTGTCTTGTTGCCACAGCAAAGGGGATCCCAAAGGGAGGTACCTGGGAACAGGCGTTCCACAGAAAATCCCAACAGAGAGAGGAGCATATGGACTTGGCCAGTCAAGTGTTTCCCTCACGGCCTACAGGACAGTTTGGCAAATGCACGGGGAATTAGAAGTCCCATATGTCATTGGTGGGAATAAGAGGGCACTCTCCAACACAGTCACCCCATTTCCAGGCAAGTTTTCTAAGAGGCTATCAGACAGTGGTACCAGAAGTTTTCAGTTGCTCTGTTCAAGGACAAGAACACTAGGAACCAACTGGCATTTCACCATTTTGGCCTACAAATATGGCAATTTCATATAGTTTTACTTAGAAGAACAGCATTTGAGACAATTTTAAAATCCAAGTGGGACTGTGGATCAGTTGAACTTTCACCTCATACACATTCACATACATACACATACAGTCATGTCTTTATATCCATGGATTTCATACCTTCAGATTCAACCACAGATCAAAATATTTGAATTTTTGTGTCTATTTTACACATCCACAAACCTTTCTTTATTGTGTGGCCTAGACAATACACCATAAATGTGGTGATATATTGTTTGTGCTTTAACAAATAAAGCTTGCCTGGAGATCAGAGTACAGAGTTAGCCACTAGAGGTCAGGCAGTGGTAGCACACACCTTTAATCCCAGCACTTGGGAGGAGGAAACAGGAAGTGATATGGCTGGATGGAGAGAGGAAGTCATAAGGCCAAGTGGAGAAAGGAGCTTGGCCCCCTTTCAGTCTTAGGATTCTTAGCAGGACAAAGTTTTCTAATGGCTGGCTGTTCTGTTTCTGTGATCTTTCTTCACCCTGGTATCTGACTCCAGGTTTTGCTTATTAAAAAGAATTGGAATGCATGCTATATATAATATTTATTAATACATAATATTTTACTGTATTAGGCATTATGGTAACCTATAAATGATTTAAAGTATCCTGGACAATGTTATATAGGTTATATGCAAATGTTTGCTCACCCTGTATAATGGACTTGAGTGTTTACAGATTGAGCATCTTTGGTAGGGAAACTGGAGTCAATCTCCTAAGAATATTGATGGGCAACTGCATATATGTGCATATGTATATAATAGCATTCTTCTCTTGCATTATTAAATATTTTTATTTGATAATTTTTTTTGACAATTTCATATACAATGTGCTGTGATTACGTTCACCCAGCTACTACCACCTCTCATTCCCCCCTCTCCTACCTTCCCCCTTCTTTCCAGGGAGTCTACATTTTACCCTCATGTCCCTCCTTTTCTGTGAAGACAGTCACAGCTGCTGTGTGTCCATGATTGCAATAACCCCACTGTATCCAGAAGACACACCACTCCCCTGCCCTCCTCTGCATCCTTCAGCTCCTACAGATGCCCACCATCTTCTGCAATGTTCCTTGGGCCTCAAAGGGGGTAACCAAGGCTGAGAGCTACACTAGTCTATGGGTATTAATATAAAATTTAAAAGGTAACTCAATTACATGTTCATTTAACACAACATCAGTAGTAATTCCCCACAGAGCATTGTGACCTCTCCAGATATAGTGGCATGAATGTTCTGGTTACCTCCAAGGCAGTTATGGCATCATTGCACCAGGTACATATTTTGCTAGGTAGTTCAGTATTTCTTTGATGGCTAAGAATGTTAAATACTTTTTTGAGATGTTACTAGTCATTCATATTTCATCTTTTGAGAACTATGTTCAATTTCACAGCCCATTTTAGGTTGATATTTATTTTCTTTTATAAAATTATTTATTATTAGTGGGGGACATGCATGCCATAGCATGCATATGCAGATCAAAGCACAATTTCTGTGTATCCACTGTTACTTTTCACCATGGAGTTGCAGGAGTAAGACTCAGGCTATCAGGCTTGCATGAAAGTGTTTCTACCCATGAGCCACTCACTGACCTCCTCTGCTGTTTTCTTAGTGCTTAATTTTTTTAGCTCTTTGTATATTCTAGGTATTCAAACTCTGTCAGATATATAGCAGGCAAAGATATCCTTAATTCTGTAGATTACCTCATTATGCAGTTGGCTGTTTCTTTTTTAATGTGACTGATAAGTTTTCTGAGTTTACTAATTTTAGTTGGCATCTGTGGAGAAATTCAAATGCACTGTTCCAAGCCTTTCTGGCTTTTAAGGTTTCCATTGAAAAGCAAGTGGTTATTCTTCTGGCCCTACATGTGGCTTTGTTTGTATTTGGCTTGCTATTCCTCTCTTGAAGCTTTTAATACAGTTTCTTTTAACTACAATATGACAAAGGGTGTTTCTTTTCTGATCCTGCCTATTTGGTGTTTTATGTGTCTCTTATACCTCAATTTGCATCTCTTTCACTATATTTGGGTTAATTTCTTCTTTGGTTTTATTGAAAATATTTTCTATGCCTTTAGCACAGAATTCTCTTTCTTCAGTGCCTATAAGTCAAAAGTTTGATCTTTTCTTGGTGTTCCAAAGATCTCAAGTGTCACTCACAAGATTAAAAAATCATTTTCTTTGACTAAATGATCCAATTCCTCTTTGTTTTCAACCCCTGATATTCTGCTTTCCACATAATTCATTCTACAGGTGAGGCCTTCCACTGAGTTCC